CAGCAGATCTAATAGATGGTTTCACTGAAAGGCCTCTCGAGTTTTATACAGTTTTTTACCATTAAAACACCTGAAACTTTAGTAAAATTATATAAACGGTTTAGTTTTCTCATGTAATGAAGATGATGTTGCCACACTAGAGGTATTGTGAAAGGTTAGGCAGCAAACCTATTGGCAGATTTCTTGAAGAAATATCACTTTCTTTCTTCTGTCATACTGGATAACTGAATTACACATTTTTGTTTTTAATCTCCTTTATATTCACTTTGTTTCTTGGAATGAACATTAATCTTTGGTTTGGGATAGTAATTTATAATTGATATAGCTTACAGAAAGGATCTCCCTTTCAGGCATTTCTTAATGTAGTACTTCTTTAAGTTCATACTAGATCCATCTAATTATGTCTTTATTAAACTTTGAAATCAAATCAATTAAACAGACTTTAATTGGATGCCTGTAGGTTCTAAACTCAGAGGCTTTATTATACTGGTTTGTATTGTACAAAAGGATGTTTTCATGAAACCTTCTTTTCGGATTAGTGTTTCTTGAAACATGTTTGAGGATATGCTGAATTAAAATAAATAAGGACAAGCTTCTAGTTAAGCATAGCAGATTGAGCACTTGTTTAATGCTTTGATCCCCTCCTACCCCAAATATCTACTAAAATGGCAATAAAGGAATGAAAAGAAAAGTGTGGGATTATTTTTGAGATGGAGTCTCACTCTTATTGCCCAGGCTGGAGTGCAGTGATACAGTCTCAGCTCACTGCAACCTCCACCCCCAGATTCAAGAAGTTCTTTTGCCTCAGCCTCCTGAGTAGCTGGGATTACAGGCATCTGTCATCACACCCAGCTAATTTTTGTATTTTTAGTAGAGACAGGGTTTCACCATGTTAGTCAGGCTGGTCTCGAACTCCTGACCTCAGGTGATCTGCCCACTTCGGTCTCCCAAAGTGCTGGGATTACAGGTGTGAACCACTGTGCCCGACCAAAAAGTTTTAAGCCACAAAGACAAGAAAGCTGGAGAGAGGGGTACAGCATGTAAGACGTGTCCACAAAATAGAAAGTAAAATAGTATTAGAGGAATGGTAAATTATCTTAGCAGAAAGCTGATACATAAACATTTCATGGGGAGAGTGAAGTTAAGAATCTCAAGACAGTTCACATACCATCGAACCTTAGAAAGTTGAGTTTGGAGATGTCAAGTATTTGTGAAGGCAGAGATACGGAGTGGTTTCAGAAAACAGAATTGGTTAAAAATTTTTAGATCCTGAAGATTCCTGGCTGAACATGGTAGAGGAAGGGGAATACCCAATGAAAGACTGGAGATTTACTCTCTAGAGTGAGTATTTGAACGAGATTTAAATTTTAGCATAAATGATTGTACAGGAAACAACAGAGAGGGAAATTAAGTCAAATGATGAGGCTTCTAGTCCTCTACCCAAGATACTTTTCAAAGCACTAGCAGTCTTGCTTATTATAATTCTCCAAAGTAGGAGATAAGGGACATCTTTTGGAATACTGACTTGCCCAGAAGAAAAAACTTAGAGATAATGCCATTTGAGAGTCTCCCAATGAAATAACCAGATGTCTGCTTGATCACCCTACAGTGAAACACATTAGCTGAAAGGCTCTGTCCAACCATCTACACCATTTTCAATCAGTATTTTAGTATCCCGCAAACAATCAAGGATCTCCAGATATTTGAGGGAAATCAGTGTAATAGAGATCAAAACAGAGATAAAAGGAACCTGATGGGACAGACCCAATGCTGGAAAATAGGGAATAATTTTTAAAAACAATATCCTCAAAGCCTGAAAGAAGGGATATTTTATCAATGATATACAAAAAATAATATTTTTAAAAAGAAAGCTTTTAGAAATTAAAAATATTACAGCAAAAATATAAACAAGAGCTGCACATGGTGGTATGCACCTCTAATCCCAGCTACTCAAACTGTGGCAGGAGAATCGCTTGAACCGGGAGCCAGAGGTTGCAGTGAGCACTGCAGCCTGGGTGACAGAGCAAGACTCCATCTCAAAGAAAAAAAAATACATATATATATATTATATATATATATGGTGTGTGTGTGTGTGTGTGTGTATATATATATATAAATAGGAGTAGAAGAAAAGCTGAGAAGTCTCAGAAAGTAGGACCAAAAGTGAAGGAGATGATACCTAGTAAATGAGGAAATACTTATACCTAGTACTTCATAAAGTTCTAGAAGTATGAGGATGACGAGAGAGAGAAAAAAAACAGACCACATAGAGGAATAGGGTTACAGAGTGTCATCAACAATAGTTGGAGCAGTGGAGCAATGCCTCGAAAACTCTAGAAAAAATTATTACTAACCTAGAAAATTGTAAAACCTATCAAACTATCCATCGTATATTAACTCAGAATAAGAATAATCATATTCTCTAATACATAAGAATTCAAAAATTAATTCCCACTCTTTCCCCCTTCTGCTGGAGGATGTGTATACTTCACTAAATGAGATGGTAAATGGAAGAACAATGTGAGATTCAGAAAATGAGTTACAACTCAGGAAAAGATAAAAAGGAAAAAGAGGATTATCAGGATAATGACAGAGAACAATCCCAGAATGACTGTTGAACAGCAGCTTTGAGAATTACCAGTTCATATTGGAGCAGGACAAAGAGTTTTGCTAGGAGAGTGGGGAACAAGCTTTATGGATAAGTTGTGTTTGAGTGTCTTAAACTTGATTATAAATCTAAGTATAACTGTTTTTCTTGTAAATCTAAGTATAACTTTTGTTGTAGTTAGCTAAATTAATGGTGGATAATACAGGAAGAAAAGGAAAAGAGAAAAAACCATTATTAACCCTAGGAAAAGCAAAAATCTATTAAAAAGGTAACCATTCATTATATGGTTCAGCTGTGATTAATGCTTAAATGATTATGATGTAACACTGCTACATTGTGTTGATATATTTATATATCAAAAAGGATAATATAGGCAGAGTAAAGATAGACGATAAGGCAGGGTGGCATAAAAAGAAAAATCTTTATCTTCCGTAGTGGAAAAAAAAAATCACCAGAAAATATTCGAAACTTGCCAGGTGTGGTGGCTCACGCCTGTAATCCCAGCACTTTGGGAGGCCAAGATGGGTGGATCACCTAAGGTCAGGAGTTCAAGACCAGCCTGACCAACCCTATCTCTACTAAAAATACAAAAATTAGCCAGGTGTAGTGGTGTGTGCCTGTAGTTCCAACTACTTGGGAGGCCGAGACAAGAGAATTACTTGAACCTGGGAAGCAGAGGTTGCACAGTGAGCTGAGATTCTGCCACTGCACTCCAACCTGGCCAACAAAGCAAGACTTCATTTCAAAAAAAGAAACAAAAGAAAATATCTGAAACCAAAAAATAAAGGTAGAGTAGTACAAGGATGTTATTTAGAAATAAAGAAATAAATATTAGAAGAAACAGACAAAGGATTTAATGAGTGCTTTGGGGAAACAGAAATCAAGAGTGGGTATTTCTGTAATTTTTCTTTAGAAGATTGGAAGTACTGTTTGATTTATTAAAGTAGGTACATGCATTAGTTTGATAAAAATTAAATGAAAAGGAATATCACTGCTCTCCAAAGACAGACAGGTAGGGTGGATTTGTAAAACGATCCTCAGGAAACCACAATTTAGACAAATTTACCAGTATTGAATACTTTAGAGACTGTCATTGAAGCTGCTCAGTAATTATCTGAGAATTACCCAGAAATATGTGAAATAGCTTTTGGACTGGCTTTTCATATGTAGCCTTGCCCAGAGAAAACTAACAGTTCTTTCAGTAGAGAGCATTTTATCTAATGATGGCTTTCTGAGATAGGCTTCCAAGTGAAAGAATGCTATGTGAACAACTACATATTTACTAAGTGTTGAGTGAATGAAACCTGAAACAAAACATCTCAGCATCCTTAGGGCATAAAAGACACTACGTAGGTATAGCAGAGCAATTCTATGTCTAGCTGAAGGAACATGGTTCTTTCTAAGACTGTATCTATGTAACTACCATATATTTTTACTTCTTGCTTCTTAAGCAGTTTTAAAAATCAATGTTACCATCTTTTAGATATAGATCAAAGGGGTAAGGCAGTAAGTGCTGGAACTCAGCCTGTTCCCCTGCCACCGACATTGAATTTGTTAATAGTAATTCTGACAGGGACTTGTGCAAAACCAAACAGATATTGTGTAATAACTGAAAAGGAAATTAGTATGCTATTAAGTAGAAAGCAGGCTATTACCAACTGGATTAACAGAAGTAAACCAAGATACATATGATCTTCCAGTGCAGGAAACAAGCCCCTACTTAGTGTGATTTATTTTGAACAATATCAATAGGCCCTTTGTGAGGCAAGCAAGGCGGAAAATTTGTCATATGCACTGTAGACAAGTTATAAACAATGCAGCCACCAACACTGTTGTAACAGAAAGCTGTTTCAGTCAACACTTCCACTTTTTCCTCTAAGTATAAAATTCGAAGGAAAGAAACTTGAAGTGAGTGCTAGTGACTAAATGGTAATTTTTAGTTAACAAGAGCTGAAGGCCCCAGGTCCCGTAGTCAGCCTCTACTTGAGATAGCTACCTGTTTTCTAGATGATACCTGGAAATGTTAAGTGTATTATTGATGTTAAATAGTTTGACTTCTTGTGTATACCTTATGATATAAGATAGTTTAAGTTTGCATAAGGTAGCAGAAAATGTTGAGTAGAATTTTAATTCACATGTAAGGAAAGCAGGTTTTGCATACTTTACCAAGTTTTCTCTATTGTGGCCTTTTGTATTTTACTTGTATTGGTAGCTTAACAAGATAAGATGAAATCAGCATTTGGGAAAAGCATGTAAAAAATTGTGTATTATATGAAATGCAGCTATTCTACATATTTCAGCCTTTGCCAGTGTGCTAGTATGAATGCTGGTTTACAGCCTTTTTAATAAAAATTAATACAAGGTAACCAAGTCCTCTTATGTCTTTGTACAGGTAACTCTTTATTCAGTGAAACAGGAGGAAAGAAAAATGCAACAATAAAGATAAATAAGGTTTGTTGAAACCAAGAAAAATCTTTTTCTTAGATAATAGCACTTGAGGGTTATTTAGTCCATAAATAGCCAGTGCTTCAGGTGTATCAAAATATTTAAGTATAACTATTATTTACCTATTAGAGATATTTTTATTTGTTGTTTCACTAACTACTTTTTACTTTTCTAGCCTCAGAGATCAAATTGGAGTACAAATCAGTGTTTCAGAAAATTTTTCTCCAATATGTTTTCTTCTATTAGTCACCCTGGAGAATCTTCCTTTACCTATAGAGCTTATTGGTTAGTATTTTCTACTTTTAATTTATGCTGCTTATACTTGATGTTTAATGATTATAATTGACTTTTGCTAGAAATTTAAACTCTGGGCCCAATAAAAACTGAAAGGCCCACCTTGGTTTGTTTGTTTGTTTGTTTCGGAAAGTAAACTAGCTCTATGCAAGAGAAAACCTGTTAATTTTGGGAGCTTCTCTGTTGTGGAATGATTGTCTGTGCCAGTGTGCTTTGTTTTCATTAATAAGTAATTGTATATAAGCTTTCTATATGCTAAAGAAGCATGTTATCTATTAAATTGTGGGAATAGTACCTCAAGCAGAATGCTTTTAGAGCTGATCCACTCATGCCGAATCCTAGTGACTGGCATGTAGATACTAAGTAGATATTTATGGAATTTGAAGATTAAATTGAATCTTTAAAATCATGTACAGTTAGTTGAGCCAGCCACACAGAATAAGATTGTTTGATTTAATTTTAGAGCTTGGCAAGGTAACAAAAAAATAATTATATCTGAGTAGGCTTTTGAAAAGCTGTACTATACCCATTTTTGGTTGCAGTAATCATACCCTCCTTTATTTTCTTCTTTTGTTTTAGGCTTAGTTTCAACTGGGAAACTATTGCATCTAGAATTTTTTTCTATCAATAATGAGGATATTAGTCTGACTTGACTTTATTAAAAAAAATCTGTCACTTAAGATGGAAATTCAAGGGTTATTTTTAATAATCAAATAAATACAATTTTGATTTGCAGTATAACAATTTTACTTATCTTAGGACTGAGTTTATTTTGAAAGTGTTTAAATAGAAAAAAGCCCTCATTCTTGTAAGTGTGATTCATAATGCTAGGTACAAAAACAGCTGCTATTTTTTGTATGATCTAATTGTTTCTTTGAACCTAAAATTGTGAGATTCTGATGAATGTCTAAAATTTGTCTTTTAGTACAGAATTTCTAGAAGTCAGTGAAATCAGTGCATTGATAAGGCAGAAGAGACAGGATCTGGAATTGTCATGGTTTCCTGATACATTACCTGGTATTGTAAGGTAAAAATAAAAAAATTATTTACTCTAGTGTTTATATGCTTACATGAACAAGATAGCATTAGTACTTAACAGGGGTACCTTACTTAATTGTTATTTTCCTAAGGAAGTTTTGTGCAAATTAAACTTTGATGTTTCAAATGCCCAACAAAGAGTGCTATATAAAGGACCCCTTAGAAAGTAAAGAATTCTTAATTTATCTGTTTAACAAGTATAGCTATGTATATGCTAGATTTATTAAAATATTTGACCAAGTGCCTACTCCACTCTGACACTCATGACTTTCTGTAATCTAGTTTTTTCTTTCTTAATTTAGTTCTGAAGCTACCAAGATGGTGGCTAGATATGTAATATATATTTAAATCAAGCTCCTAAGTAAAGATTAGGGTCACTACCTGAGTATTATATTAATTCCTGTAACATGTTATGACTTTATTTTATATGTTACTATGTAGTCCTGTATAGGGAATTCACCCTCTAGGAATGATGGCAGAACATAATAAAAGTCAAATGAAGAAGTCCAGATGTATGTCCTATGAAACCTTTCTTTACAGTTACATATTTCTATACATGTACATGTTACATTTTTTTTTCCATGCTTCTCTTCTATTCCAGAATCTCACCTTATACTGAATCAGATAGTCTTTTGTTAGGAGATCTAAATGAGTAAGAAAAAAAAATGCTGGGAAGTGGTTTGGGTTTCAGTGTAGAAAATTTGAGGGGGAGGGGTTTTGACAGGTCTCTAGGGGACACTGAGACCTTTAAAGAGCCATTCCCAGGTCAAGGAATTTTAGAATATAACATAGTGGTATAAATCAGTTCCTTGGTTGCCTGGAAAGGAGGGAGAAGAATACAAAGGAGTGTGAGGACACTTTCTGGAGGGACAGAAATATTTTATTTCTTGATTGGAGTGGCGTTTACACAGACATATATGTATGCACACACTTCGATCAAAAGTTAGAAAATACACGCTTAAAATCTGTGCATTTTATGTTGAATTATACCTCAAAGTTTTTTTTAGAAGAGTGAAGAACATAATGAAAGCTAGAAAAATTCTTGACAAAATACTGCATAAATTACTTTAAAGAGAACTGTCTGTGTTAAGTTTCTTTCATCTCTTCTTTGCCATGAATTTATCAGAAAAACATATATTTAAAGGCTTTTTTTTTTTTTTTTCTGAGTTGCAGCCAATTGGTAGCTATTTTTAGACAAGGAATAACCTTGAATTTACATTGTTAGTTATTTGGACAAAAAACGTTTAAGCACTGTATTTTAATATTACTAACCTGATTTAGAGAATTAATACTTTTAAATTGCTGGTTTAATTTTTTAAACCATTTAAACAAAAATGTCTTTATTATATTTTCAGAATTGGTTTTATACCCTGGAATGTTGAAACAGAAGTCCTTCCTCTCATTTCTTCTGTGTTGCCAAGAACTATTTTTCCAACAAGTACCATATCTTTAGAAAATTTTGGTAAAGTTTGTGAAATCATTTTCTATTTTAAAAATTATTATTAGTTTCTTCAAGTTTCATAAAAATGTGTGTTTGATTACTTACAAAAGCTGTGAAATAAGGTATAGTAACTTGTAAATACTTCTATAAATATTTGGACAGTGACTTGACTTTAAAATTGCTTTGGCTGGGTGCAGTGGCTCAGGCCTGTAATCTCAGCACTTTGGGAGGCCGAGGTGGATGGATCACAAAGGTCAAGAGTCTGAGACCATCCTGGCCAACATGGTGAAACCCCATCTCTACTAAAAAATACAGAAATTAGCTGGGCATGGTGGCGCGTGCCTGTAGTCCCAGCTACTTGGGAGGCTGAGGCAGGAGAATTGTTTGAACGCGGGAGGCAGGAGTTGCAGTGAGTCGAGATCACGCCACTGCACTCCAGCCTGGTGCCTGGAGACAGAGCGACACTCTGTCTCAAAAAAAAAAACAAATTGCTTCAACTAGAGTATATATATACAATGGAATATTTTTCTGCCACACAGAAAAAAAAGAAATCCTGTTGTTTGTGACAACATGGATCAATCTGGAGGACATTATGCTAAGTGAATAAGGAAGGCATAGTAAGACAAATACCACATGATCTCACTTCTGTGTGGAATTGAAAAAAGTTGATCTCATAGAACTAGACTGTAGACTAGGGGGTGGTGTAGTCATGGTGGGGTGGAGGTTGTTGGTCAAAGGATACAAAATTTCAGCTAGGTAGGATAAGTTCTAAAGATCTATTGTATAATGTGATGACTAGAATAATACAGTTGACCCTTGAACAACACAGGTTTTAACTGCGTGGAGACATTCATATGTGAATTTTGAAAAATAAATATATTGAATTTTTTTGGAGATTTGCAACACTGAAAAAAAAGCTCACAAATTGCATAGCCTATAGTGAAGAAATTAAGAGAAAATTATGTCATTAATGCATAAAATATATGTAGGTACTAATCTATTTTATCATTTACTACCATAAAATACTTACAAATCTGTGATAAAAAGTTAAAATTTATCAAAACATATACACACTCAAACCACATGGTGCCACCATTTGAAGTCATGAGAAATGTAAACAGCTATAAAGATACAGTATTAAATCATAACTGCATAATATTAACTATATTACATATTTACCACTGTAATAATTTTGTGGCCACCTTCCATTGCTATTCTGGTGAACTCAAGTGTTGTGAATATCTGGGAGGTTGAGGCTGCAGTGAGCCATGATTGCACCACTGCACTCTAGCCTTTGCAACACAACAAGAGCCTGTCTCAAACAAAAAACAAAAAACAAAAAACCTGGCTGGGCGTGGTGGCTCACACCTGTAATCCCAGTACTTTGGGAGGCTGAGGCGGATAGATCACGAGGTCAGGAGTTCAAGACCAGCCTGGCCAAGATGGTGAAACCCTGCCTCTACTAAAAACACAAAAAAATTAACCAGGTGTAGTGGTGCACGCCTGTAGTACCAGCTACTTGGGAGGCTGAGGTTGCAGTGAGCTGAGATTGCGCCACTGCATTCCAGCCTGGGCGACAGAGCAAGACTACATCTTTAAAAAAAAAAACAAAAAAAAAAAAAACGCAAAACGTGGTGTAATATAGTCATCTCCACATAAGTATTTGTCTTTTTTTTTTTTTTTTTTTTGAGACGGAGTTTCGCTCTTGTTACCCAAGCTGGAGTGCAGTGGCGCGATCTCAGCTCACCGCAACCTCCGCCTCCTGGGTTCAGGCAATTCTCCTGCCTCAGCCTCCTGAGTAGCTGGGATTACAGGCACGTGCCACCATGCCCAGCTAATTTTTTGTATTTTTAGTAGAGACGGGGTTTCACCATGTTGACCAGGATGGTCTCCATCTCTTGACCTCATGATCCACCCGCCTCGGCCTCCCAAAGTGCTGGGATTACAGGCGTGAGCCACCGCGCCCAGCCGCATTTGTCTTTCTTATAGATTGCATATCACAGTGAAATGTGATCTCTTACAGTGTTTGCATATTTTTCGAAGTGTTTAGTGCAATACTGTAAACCTTGAGTAACACCTTGGGGACCCACATGAAGTGCCGTTAGTGATGTAGGAAGTGCTCCCCAGAAGCACAGAAAAGTCATGGTATTACAAGAAGTTGTTTAATTCCTTGATAGGAACTTTAGATTGAGATCTATAGCTGCTGTTGCCTGCCATTTCAGACAGATGATTCATCTTGTAAACGAAGGATATAAGCTTACAGTATTGGTAAATACAGTACAGCACTGTAATGTATTTTCTGTTATGACTTTTGTAACAACCTTTTCTTTAGCTTATTGTAAGAATACAGTATGTAACATATATCACATTAAAAATACGTTAATTCACTGTTATCAGTAAGGAGTCTGGTGAACATTTAAGTTTGGGGGAGTAAAAACTACGCCAATTTTTGGCTGTGTGGGGGGTTGGTGCTCCTAATCCCTGTGTTGTTAAAAGTTCAACTACACTGTATTGTTGAAAATTGCAAGAGAGTGGGTATAAACTGTTTTCACTAAGTTATAACTATGTGAGGTGTAGTGCATTTATTAAGTAGCTAGTTTTGGTCATTCACAATGTATATGTACTTCAAAGCATCATGTTGTACATAGTGAACACATAAAGTTTTATCTGTCAGTCAGTTTTAAAATTAAAAACTATTCCAACTAGAAACTCTGTGCTACAGTTTTTAGAAATTACAAATTGGAGGCTTTGAAGAACTGATTATAAGTCTCCTTTCTGTTTTGGGCTTTCCTGTCCAAACCATAGATCTTTAGAAGTAACATCTGTTAATTATTAATAAATAGTTTGAGTCTTTATTAATTCATGGATAACTTGACAGTTTTCTCTCACCTTTTGCCTAGATAATACCAGTTCATGGCCAGGCGCAATAGCTCACACCTCTATGCCCAGCACTTTGGGAGGCCAAGGCAGGCAGATCACTTAAACTCAGGAGTTTGAGACCAGCTTGGGCAACATGGCGAAACTCTGTTCTATTAAAAATACAAAAATTACCTGGGCATGGTAGTGCATGTGTGTAGTCCCAGCTATTCGGGAGGCTAAGGTGGGAAGATCACTTGAGCCTGGGAGGTTGAGGCCACAGTGAGCCATGATCACTCCAGTGATCACACCATTGCACTCTAGCCTGGGTGACAGAGTGAGACCCTGTCCCAAAAAAAAAAAAAAAATCATTAAGCAGGTAGCAGTTATAAGACCAAATATTATTTTCCTTTTTTCCCCTATAAAATTGCCCACTTGAACCAAATCTAGTTGTTATTTCAGTGTCATTAAGAAAATTGATGAATACCTCACACTACTCTGATGTTAGTAGCTGTACATTTATTAATAGTTTTATTTATAAGTATTTTACCTCACTCTGTTGCAGAGTATTTTATGCTAAAATTAGCTAAAGCCAAATTACTGTTTCTTAAAACAAATATTTTTTACCTTTTTTTTAAAAAAAATATTATTAGGTACTTCTTGCAAGGGATATGCATTAGCACATACTCAAGAAGGGGAAGAAAAGAAGCAAACTTCTGGTACATCAAATACCAGAGGATCAAGACGAAAACCTGCAATGACAACTCCTACAAGGAGGTCTACACGTAACACAAGAGCTGAAACAGTCAGTCAGTCTCAGAGATCCCCAATATCAAATAATTCTGGGTGTGATGCCCCAGGTAACAGTAATCCATCTTTAAGTGTTCCTTCTTCAGCTGAGTCAGAAAAGCAAACAAGACAGGCTCCAAAACGGAAGGCTGTAAGAAGAGGAAGAAAACCAGCTTTACTGAAAAAGAAACTTCGGAGCTCTGTAGCTGCCCCTGAAAAATCATCTTCCAATGATTCAGTAGATGAAGAAACAGCAGAATCTGACACATCACCTGTGTTAGAAAAAGAGCACCAATCAGATGTAGACAGTAGTAACATTTCTACTTTGCAGACACATATAGAAAACCAGTCTGATAACTGTTTGAAAAGTTGCAATGAGCAAACAGAAGAAAGTGAGAAACAGACTGCAAATCATGATACAGAGGAAAGAGTAGAATCTTCATCTTCAGAGTCTTGTGCTCAAGATCCTCCTGTGCTAGTTGGTGAGGAAGGCAAAGTTCAAAAACTTGAGAATACAGGTATAGAGGCTAAAGTTTTGTGTGTGGAAAGTGAGATTTCTAAAAATATTTTTGAAAAAGGAAGTGATCCATTGGAAAAGCAAGACCAGGTATCTGGATTTTCAGAATCAGAGGTAAAGGCAGATGTATGTACAGTTCATCTTCCAAATGATTTTCCTACATGTTTAACATCTGAAAGCAAAGTACATCAACCTGTATCTAGTCCTGTAAGTGAGTTATCTGAGAATGTAGAGTCAGTGGTTAATGAAGAAAAAATGACAGAGAGTTCCATAGTAGAAATTACTGAACATAAAGATTCTGCACTAAAAACAGAGGAGCTTATAGAGAGCCCCAAGTTAGAATCTTCTGAAGATGAAATTATACAAACAGTGGGCAGAAGATCTGTTACGAGCCCAGAGGTTCAATTGCTTGAGCATGTTGAAACTGAAGATGCAGAAATAATTGCAACATGTGATACATCTGGGAATGAAGATTTCAATAATATTCAAGACTCTGAAAATAATTTATTAAAAAATAATCTTTTGAACACCAAACTGGAAAAATCTTTAGAAGAAAAGAATGAATCACTCATCGAACATCCCAGATCTACAGAGTTGCCTAAAACACACATTGATCAGATTCAGAAGCATTTTAACGAGGACAACAATGAAATGATACCTATGGAGTGTGATTCATTATGCGGTGACCAAAATGAATCTGAAGTTGAACCATCTGTAAATGCTGATCTTAAACAAATAAATGAAAATTCTGTGATACACAGTTCTGAAAATAATATGTCGTCTTCAGTTCTTGCAGATGAAAAGGTTGAAACTATATCTCAACCATCTGAATGCCCAGTAGATACTATGGACAAAGCCAAAAAGCCTCGTACTCGAAGATCTAGATTTCATTCTCCATCTACAACTTGGTCTCCCAACAAAGACACTCCACAAGAAAAGAAGCGGCCCCAGTCTCCATCTCCCAGAAGAGAAACGAGGAAAGAAAGCAAGAAGTCTCAATCACCATCTCCTAAGAATGAGTCTGCCAGAGGCCGGAAAAAATCCCGTTCTCAGTCCCCAAAAAAGGATATTGCAAGAGAAAGGAGGCAATCTCAGTCTCAGTCTCCAAAAAGGGATAATACTAAGGAAAGCAGAAGATCTGAATCACTGTCCCCAAGAAGAGATACTTTGAGAGAGAACAAAAGATCTCAACCAAGAGAGAAAGATTCCTCCCCAGGAGAAAAATCTAGGTCCCAGAGCAGAGAAAGAGAAAGTGATAGAGATGGGCAGAGGAGAGAGAGAGAAAAGAGAACCAGAAAGTGGTCTAGGTCCAGATCTCATTCTAGGTCCCCCTCAGGATGTAGACCAAAAAGTAAGAGTTCATCATTTGGTAGAAATGACAGAGATAGTTACGCTCCCCGCTGGAAGGGAAGATGGGCAAATGATGGTTGGAGATGTCCACGAGGAAGTGATCGGTACAGAAAGAATGACCCAGAGAAACAGAATGAAAATACAAGAAAAGAAAAAAATGACATCCACCTAGATGGTGATGATCCAAATTCTGCTGACAAACATAGGAATGACTGTCCCAGTTGGATAACAGAAAAAATAAACTCTGGGCCTGATCCAAGAACCAGAAATCCAGAAAAGTTGAAAGAGTCTCATTGGGAAGAAAAAAGAAATGAAAATTCAGGAAATTCTTGGAATAAAAACTTTGGTTCTGGTTGGGTATCTAACCGTGGTAGAGGCAGAGGCAACCGTGGCAGAGGCACTTACAGAAATAGTTTTGCCTATACAGATCAGAATGAAAATAGGTGGCAAAACCGAAAGCCCCTCTCAGGGAATTCAAACAGTTCGGGGAGTGAATCTTTCAAGTTTGTGGAACAGCAGTCCTATAAGCGGAAAAGTGAACAAGAGTTCGCATTTGATACACCAGCAGATAGATCCGGGTGGACCTCTGCATCTAGCTGGGCTGTGAGAAAGACTTTGCCAGCGGATGTACAAAACTACTACTCGCGACGAGGCAGAAATTCTTCAGGTCCACAGTCTGGATGGATGAGGCAAGAGGAGGAAACATCTGGACAGGGTAACGTATTCTTTTTTGTTTATTGATACTGTTTTATTTGAAGAATTATAAATTTAATATGTTTTTTGTATGAGTTGAAATGATCCTTATTTGTAGTTTTTATAAATTTAAGCTGAACCCTAGTTATTTACAAGTCACTTTGCATTATATAAATATATATACATGTACATTTATCTACATCAGTATATTTTTAACCCTGCCTCTGCTCCAAACCTTGCCAAAGACTTAAATATTTTCAGCACTGTTTGCTGCAATAGAAGAGTTTGGGATATTCCTATGCAGGATTCAACAACTAATTTGTTTATTTCAGATATGTACGCTTTTAATTTTTTTGATCATTGTTCTTACACAAATAAAATAAGCCATTGCTTTAATAGTAAAGATTTATCTTGTTTTTTTCTTGCTAAGAACATTGCAAGAAAAAGGCTGTTGAAGATATAAAAATTGAATAATCATACTTACAATTTAGTAACTAAGTAATTACTTACAATTACTTAGTAACTAAGTAATTACTTACAATTTAGTAACTAAGTTTTATGTGATTTTTTAACTAGTCAGTTTCTTGAGCTACTGATTGTTGATATATGTTTTTGCATAAACTTATTCTTAAAAATATTTTCAGTTGAATGTTTTCTTTCATTTAGAAAATCAGTCCACATTATTTAGAAATGACAGGATTAAAATAAACAATTGGAGATTGGTATTGGTGTATTGAGCCTATTAATTGCTGTTTAATTTTAGTGTAACCAGTGGTTCTTTGTTTCTGTGTAAAGATATTCGTAACATGAGTTTTTTCACACGCTTTTTTTCTTTTGATAGATTCTAGCTTAAAAGACCAAACAAACCAGCAAGTTGATGGTTCTCAGCTACCTATAAATATGATGCAACCACAAATGAATGTAATGCAGCAACAAATGAATGCACAACACCAGCCTATGAATATCTTCCCATATCCAGTGGGTGTTCATGCTCCTTTGATGAACATCCAACGCAATCCATTTAACATTCATCCTCAGCTACCCTTGCATCTCCACACAGGAGTGCCCCTCATGCAGGTAGCCGCTCCTACCAGTGTATCTCAGGGACTACCACCACCGCCACCCCCTCCCCCACCATCCCAACAAGTCAACTACATTGCTTCACAACCAGATGGAAAGCAGTTGCAGGTATGTTTTTAGCAACTCAAGTTTAATCAATATAGCCATTGTAGACATTTAGCTGTTCAGGACAGATGTCCAAAAAAAGGCATTCTGGCCTCCAAAAACAGTTGTTTATTTGATTTTAGTTACGGTAAACCTTCATAATCCCTCTTTCACTGTCCTTCTCAAAACACTCCAACTCCCAAATTAGAAAATCAGTTGAATACATATTACCAAATCCAGGCTACATATATGCCGTTATTTATATCGGAACAGGATTTTTTACATTGAGTAATCCGAATTAGAATAAAGTGGTGGGTGCTTTACGTTTTTCCCGTTTTGCATTATTTAAGGGGTATATGGGGTGGTGGGAACTAGTGATTAAGTACTGTGATGAAGCTTTTATTGTCTTGTTTGGAGAAACACTAGATAAAGCTGTTCATTATCCATTACCATCTTTGTTTCATTTTCATGAGTTATCATGCTAAAAAGAAAGGAGAAGTGCCTATATGAGCCATAGAAAACTTGAATAATTTGCAAACATTGTATTGTTATAATGTTATGTCTGCCTTTCTAAAATTTTAGAACCCTAGGCCAGGCACTGTGACTCATGCCTGTTATCCCAGCACTTTGGGAGGCCAAGTTGGGCGGATCATTTGAGGTCAGGAGTTCATGACCAGCCTGGCCAACATGGCAAATCCCCATTTCTACTAAAAATACAAAAATTAGCCAGGCATGGTGGTGTGTACCTGTAATCCCAGCTACTTAAGGCTGAGGCAGGAGAATCACTTGATTGGGAGTGGGAGGTTGCAGTGAGCCAAGATCATGCTACTGTATTCCAGCCTGGGTGACAGAGTAAGATTCCGTCTCAAAAAAAAAAAAAAAAAAAAAAAAAAATTAGGCCGGGCACAGTGGCTCATGCCTGTAATCCCAGCACTTTGAGAGGCCAAGGTGGGCGGATAACCTGAGGTCGGGAGTGAGACCAGCGCAACCAACATGGAAAAACCCCATCTATACTAAAAATACAAAATTAGTTGGCCCTGGTGGCACATTCCCAGCTACTCAGGAGGCTGAGGCAGGAGAACCACTTGAACCCAGGAGGCGGAGGTTGCAGTGAGCTGAGATAAGCACCATTGCACTCCAGCCTGGGCAACAAGAGTGAAACTCTGTCTCAAAAAAATAAAATTAGAATTCTGACAGTAAAATAGAGTTGAAGAATGGGGAAATTGGATTTTAGTATTTGGGATCTTAATCTTTTTCTCCTATCAATTTACTGCAAGCCATTTGCCTTTACTGCCTCATTTTTTCCAATTTTTAAAGTGGGGGTACTTATTTTCGTTAATATTCCTAAAGATTCTTGTAGGAAAGATACAATTCTTTTTGTATTGTATTGTATGGTAGTTTTGAGACAGATTCTTACTCTTACTGGAGTACAGTGGCATGATCTCGGCTCACTGCAACCTCTGCCTCCCAGTTTCAAGTGATTCTCCTCAGCCTCCCAAGTAGCTGGGATTAGAGGCATGCACCACCATGCCTGGCTAATTTTTGTATTTTTAGTAGAGACTGGGTTTCACCGTGTTTGCCAGGCTGGTCCTGAACTCCTGACCTCAGGTGATCCACCTGCCTCGGCCTCTCAAAGTTCTGGGATTACAGGTGTGAGCCACCATGCCCGGCCGATATGATTCTTTAAATACTGTTCTCCTTCTCCTTCTTTTTAGTGTTGTTGTCAGAATGTTATAATACATTAATATAAAATTTTAAAGTCATGTTGACATATCTAAATAACGCCCTGTTTAAGAGTGTTACTCAGTTTTCTTTAAAGAGCCCTTTAGATATAAATGGCCTGAAATATGCATTTTTCTTTAGTCCTAAGGTTGGTTCACTTTGTGTTTTTTAATGTTACTTCTCATACATCACTAAAAGACATCCATCGAGTACAAGTAATTCATTAACTGATGATAACTCTTTAAAACAGGGTATTCCTAGTTCTTCTCATGTAAGTAATAACATGAGTACACCAGTTTTGCCTGCTCCGACAGCAGCCCCAGGAAATACGGGAATGGTTCAGGGACCAAGTTCTGGTAATACTTCGTCATCAAGTCACAGCAAAGCCTCTAATGCTGCTGTAAAATTGGCAGAAAGCAAAGTAAGTGTTACAGTGGAAGCCAGCGCAGATAGCTCGAAGACAGACAAGGCAAGTTCAAGGTTGAGAGCAACCTCCATAATTCTGTATATTTTATAATGGTGAAAAAATATCAGCTTTTTATTGTATGAGTGGTGAAAGGAATTTCTTATGGGCAGTCTGAATGCAGTATTATTTGAAGGATTCTGTCTAGATATGTTGATGTCCAGTAACTTACTGGTAATATTTTATAATTGTTTTCAGAAATGTTTGATATGTTTTAGTAAATAAACTGTTTATATTTGTGACATTAATAGTTGGAGAGTTTCTTATTGTAAATGTCAAGTATTTCAGTTTCTTATTTGGAATTCTGTGAGAGTATATGATTTGTAAATAACAAATTATACATTTTCTTCTTATCAGAAATTGCAGATTCAAGAAAAAGCAGCACAAGAGGTAAAATTGGCCATTAAGCCATTTTACCAAAATAAAGATATCACCAAGGAAGAATATAAAGAAATTGTACGGAAAGCAGTAGATAAAGTAAGTTATGGCTTTAGTGAAATGTATGCATATTGTTTTGAACCACCTCTGTTTTAATACATGAATGCTGAAGTATAATTAAAATAATAAAAGCTAGCTCCTACTAATTCTTGTCTACCTTTTGCCTTTTGAATAGTTTGTATAAGATAATGAAACATGAAAATAAGCCTGTTTATCTCTTTGGGGTGGTTTTTCACAAAGCTTTCTATTTTGGCTTTAATCCTTTAAGCATGAAAAAAGTTTACCGCCCCCCTCCCCACCTTTTTTTCTTAGGTTTGTCATAGTAAGAGTGGAGAAGTAAATTCTACTAAAGTGGCAAATCTGGTTAAAGCCTATGTAGACAAATACAAATATTCACGGAAGGGGAGCCAAAAGAAAACTCTGGAAGAAACTGTGTCTACTGAAAAAAACATAGGCTGAAATGGGGAACGCTGTAAAGGACATTATCAGGATATCTGCAAAGTGCAATTTCAACATATACCATTAACTGAAAATCATGCATAACTGTGATTGAAATTTGGTTTTGATAAAATTATTTTTTTAACATAGGATATGATGTTTTGTTCTAAATAAATATAGTTCTGCACTGCAACTTCTGTATCCTTCCTTCCCCTCCACCCTCCCTGACAAATTCAAGGGAAAGTAAAGGGTTCAAAGGAAACGTGCACCTCTACTTACGTGTTACAGTGTGGATACTGGAAGATGTATAGCTTTCTGATTAGAGCAATGGAGTGCATAAATTAGTAACTGCTAAGTGCACTGGTTTAGAAGAGATTATATATAATGCATTTATTCTGCCAGGTTAAAATATAAAGTATGATCTTTATGATTTTTCCCTCTAATTATAGAAAGTTAAATAATGTATTACATTGAAAAATATTTCTAATATTAAATAGAACATATCAATTGCAGGGTTCCTAATGTGTATTTTTAAAGCACATATCTGAATAAATCACCTAGATAGAAAAAAAATTATCACGAGTGAAATTTAGTGTTCAAAACATTCAGACACTCTTCACCTATTGTATGACCAAATAAAGGTTATGCTGCTTGTTTTTCTTTTGTGCCTTTTTTTCCACCCCCTGATTGAGGTAAGCAGTTTGATTTACTAGATACAACTTTGGCAGTTCAAAGCCTTTGTTGAAGACTTTGAGGAAAAAGATTTGGAAAAAGTGTTGACTTTCAGCCGGGCATGATAGCTCACGCCTGTAATCCCAGCACTTTGGGAGGCCAAGGCGGGTGGATCACCTTAGGTCAGGAGATCAAGAGCAGCCTGGTCAATGTGGCGAAACTCCGTCTCTACTAAAAATACAAAAATTAGCCAGGCAGTGGTGGTGCACACCTGTAATCCCAGCTACTTGGGAGGCTGAGGCAGGAGAATCGCTTGAACCCAGGAGGCGGAGGTTGCAGTGAGCAGAGACCACACCAGTGCACTCTAGCCAGGGCAACAGGAGCAGGAAAAAAAAAAAGTGTTGATTTTGTAGAAATTATGTTCTTTCATACTATCTTCTACCCATCACAGATGATAAATTGTGCCAATTCGAGAATTGCTGTTAAGTGTTACCCCCGCTTCCTTGGGACTAAGAATTTTAAGACTCACGGTATTGGCTTCAAGTTGTTTTTTAATCACTGATGAAATTAGTTTCACACTTGAAAATCCCCAGATGCTTTACAATGAATGTAGTCTTAATTTGATGACCATATGGTAGCCATTAGCCATGTTGTAAAATTCTAGACAGTAAAACTTGTGTGTTAGAAAGGGAGGGAAAAATTAAATAATGGAGAGTCCATTATTTAATTTGGATAATGAAGTTCCTTCTTTCAGGGACTAAGGATTTGGGTTTTGTTTGTTTGTTTTTAATAAGTACTAGAATATGTCAGGTTTTCTAAAAGGTAAGTTTAAAATTTTTATCATGCCATTATTTTAACTGGCATCTTGAAAGAATGGAGTTTTCTCCATGATAAACTCTGATTCCAGTAAAAACTTTTTACCAAGTAACTGGAAAGCTCTTCAGATAAGTTGTTAACGGATCCAAGGAGATACATCATCCTCAGTGAGATAAACTGACCCTTTTACTAGCTAAACTGTAGCCAGAGCAATACTCTAGAGCTGTGCTTTTCTAAAGATTATTTGTTTGTCAATTTTATGTGCATAATACTTTTCTTGGTGCTAGCTTTGATAGGCATAATATTTTAAAATGTTCACCCCATAATGATTGTGCTAGTTCCTAAGCTTTGTTATGAGTGTAATCATAAAAATATTTCCAAGCAGTTTTTGATCTTCATTCTACATTTCTGGGCATTTGTAATAATGGTATTCTACTGGTGTATATATTTTTAAAATTTGTGTTTAGATTATGATAGAGAAGTTTCAAGCTATTTCTTCTAATAAAATATCAAAACAGTGTTTCGGAATATGAAGGCACACCTCCTTAGTTATTTTAGTTCAGAACCCTAGAAACAATTTTGTAGACTATCAAACTATTTTGAGTTAAGTCTAGTTCATTCATTGAAATTTTTGCAGCAAATTGCTGTGCCTAAGCTGATTAATCACACAGTCTGTACTTTTCCTGCATTTTCTTTCTAGTGACATTTGAGAATTTGGTGACATTTTAAAATGTGCTTTATACCATTTAGCTTTTGCAAACAAGTTTGAAAGTTCTGGAGAAAAACAAGTGGTGTGGTCAAGAGTTGAAGTCTCATATGTCATTTTTTGTTGCTGTTGTTGAGATGGAGTCTTGCTCTGTTGCCAGGCTGGAGTGCAGTGGCCATCTTCTCGGCTCACTGCAACCTCCGCCTCCCGAATTCGAGCAGTTCTCCTGCCTCAGCCTCCCAAGTAGCTGAGATTACAGGCACCTGCCACCATGCCTAGCTAATTTTTGTATTTTTAGTAGAGATGGGGGAGTTTCACCATATTGGCCAGGCTGGTCTCGAACTCCTGACCTTGTGATCTGCCCGCCTCGGCCTCTCGAAGTGCTGGGATTACAAACGTGAGCCACCACACCTGGCCGATTTGAGGTCTCATATATCTTTAGTAGCACTCCCATGAATTATTTCCATGAAAATAAGAAATGTATGTTTCATATCTGATTGGGGCACTGGTTAGACTGCATTAATAGCTAATAGAAGAGTGTTACTTGATTAGAATTCAAACTTTTAAAATTTTGAAATGTTTAAGAATGTATTAGAAAGTGCATGCTTTATGTTGAAAAATATTGCTTTAACATTCCTCATTCTTGAGTTCTTTGAGAAATTTGTTAATCTTGCATGTGCACAAACTTAATTAGGAACATTTTGTGTGATTACATTTCCTCTTGTTATTTTTAAAGGTTCAGTACTGACTTGATCTTTGAGACTTTGGTCCCTTTAACTTACTATCACATTGACCGATATTTTACAGAAATGCCTAGAATTTTGAGACTAATAGTAGTTATCCATTAACATTCCAAAAGTTTTGTGCTTTTTACAATTTGTTTTGGTAATTATCACATTTTTTCTCTTAGTGTCCTTTAAATGGCCACAGTGTATACTGCTTAAATGTTCCATCCAAAAGATGTAGCTTCAGAAGCACAGTGGTTGTCCCAGGGTCTATGATATATTGTCTGTATTATGAAGTTGGAGTGCTGTCTACTGAAATTATACTCTTAAATAAATATGTAGTGTGTAATATTTTCTAATAAATTCTTTTGATAAACAAAATGATGTCTTTAACATTTTATTAAGATTCCTGGGAAATGGTGACTTTTCATTATAATCCCATATGAACATGTTCAATTATTACTTGGATTTGTACCAAAGTCACTAGCATCATGATTATGTAATATCCAAGCTCTAAAGCAAGCTTAGAGTTAGCTATAAGCATATACTTTAATAGCATTTTCCCTAATTACATGATTATTGTAAGAAATTAGAAAAACTTTAGCAAATAAAATGTGTAAAAGACTGAAAAAAGGAGAAAAATCACCTGTACTCCTACTAAAGGTAACAACTAATACAAAGCAAACTGCACATAACTATGTTGTAACCTTTCATTTTCACTTGATGTAGTGAGTGTTTTCCATTTTAATAAAAATTACAGCATGGATAGTATTCTTTTTTTCCTTCTCTTTTTGAGATGGAGTGTTGCTCTTTCACCCAGGCTGGAATGCAGTGGTGCCATCTCAGCTCACTGCACCCTCTGCCTCCTGGGTTCAAGCAATTCTCTTGCCTTGGCCTCTTGACAGGCACCCACCACCATGCCTGGCTAAGTTTTATATTTTTAATGGAGACCAGGTTTTACCACGTTGGCCAGTTTACTGGAAAACTGGAGTGGGGTGGTTAAGATAATCTATGGTTCATTCATATGAAGGTAACAGCTACTTTAAATATTTCCGGGGGGTGGAAATGGAAGAATGTACTCCTTTAATATTAAATGGAGGGGGAAAAAAAGGACACAAATTATATACAATTATCCTAACTTTCTTTAAAAACTTTAAGGCAGAAAAAAAAACCATATTATTAATAGAAGCTGTTTCTGGTAACAGAATTTTCCCCCCTGTATGCTTTTGTCTTCCAAATTTCATACAGTGAGTAAAAATTGCATGATCAGAAAACCTATCTTTTCAAAATTGCAGGCCTCACTGCTTGTGGTGTGAGGGTGAGAGATGGGGTGAAGGCTTTGCTTTAGGCTGGAGAGCTGAAAGTTTTCCATGCTGTAACTGGTCTGAGTTCTCAGATGCTTGAGCATCTGGCTATGATGGGCAACTGTCTGGTGGCTCCTTAACACTCAGCTCCTCAAGGAGGAGCTTAACTTCACTGGCAGCTTATGAGTTCTAGTCTGTAAGCAGTCAGCACCCACTGGCCTTGTGGGCTATGAAACACTTTAGTCATGAAGAAGTGGACTTCTCAAACTATAACTAGCTTGAGCATACTCCCCACCAATCCTGTGAGTACTACCCAAGATAATCCATTTCTGGTGATTAGTAGGGGTATCTGGGCTTTAAAGCTCACAGAGGGCCCAGTTTTGTGACCATGGGTATGCTATCTCTGAACCTGAATTGCTTATAAAAAGAGGTGCCGCCTATCTACCTTGCAAGTTACTGAGGGTTGAGATAATAAATGGAAAGTTCGGAATTTCCTCCACATTTACTTGGGAAAAGTCTTGTCTCTATAACCAGAATTGCTTTTCTCACAGTGATAGAAATGAAACTTAACTTGTCCATTGGTTTGCAATCTAGCTGCATATTTAGGGTCATATGGAGAGTTTTTAGAAAAGGCTATGGACAAGTACAGGCCCACCCCAGACCAATTATATCTGTCTCTGGGGATCGGATATTTTAAAATCTCCCAGGTAGAGGCTAATGTGCAGCCAGGAAGCAAACCACTATGTAATATTTTTAGATCCCCTGCAGATCACAGCTGTTCTGTTAGAGTACATAATTAATTGGATCACAGCTTGTTTTCTTTTTGAGACAGGGTCTTATTCTCTCAGGCTGTAGTGCAGTTGCATGATCACAGCTCACTGTAGGCTCAACCTTGTGAGCTCCAGTGATTTTCCCACCTCAGACCCCCAAATAGCTGGGACTACAGGCGTGTGCCATCATGCTAATTTTTGTATTTTTTTTTTTTTTTTTTCGTAGAAATGAGGTTTCACCATATTGCCCAGGCTGGTTTCAAACTATTGGGCTCAAGTAATTCACCTGACTCAGCCTCCTAAAATGCTGGGATTACAGGTATGAGCCACACTATGCCTGGCTAGAACACAGCTTATTTGAAAACCATGTGGATTCTATCCCTGTCCCAGAAACATCAACAGCACCTGATAGTTTGTACACAAACACACCCCTTTTTAATGGTGTTTTCAAATTTGAATCTACCACATTATTTGGGATTTTGAGCCCACTAAGCACTAGGAACATGGCAAAACAGCACCTTCATAGACAAGATGTCAAACATTTCCAGGGTGTTCACACAGCAGTTCATGGTGCAATCAACCTCTTGTAGGAACCTACCTGTTGGTAAGGTTAGAATGAGTATGCTTAATTTAACAAGATTTTTATTTACACCCTTGCCTAAT